AAGAAGGAGGTCACAAGGTGTTAGTGCAGCATGCGGGGGAATGAAGACTAAAGCAGGCACGGTGACAGACATGGAGGTAGGCACGGAGACAGACACAGAAACGGGCATGGAGACAGACACAGAAACAGGCATGGAGACAGACACAGAAACGGGCATGGAGACAGGTGCGGAGGCAGGCACAGAGACAGGTGCAGAGGCGGGGACGGAAGTACACGGGGTACCTATAGGGTCAGTAATCTGGAAGGAGACACACATAGAAACAGGCACAAAGACGGGTACGGAGGCAGGCACAGAGATAGGCGTAGAGGCGGGCATGGAAGTACACGAGGTACCCATAGGGTCAATGACCTGGAGCGGTTGCAGGTTAGGGTAATTACGCACGAGATCACAGATGTATATATACATATATAAATATAATAAATAAAATAAAAAACATGGTCCAAATTTCCAAGGAAAAAGAAAAAAAGAAAAAGCACAAGCCCGGCACTGGCTTGCGTGCTGTGTGGCTCAAGCCCCCAGCAGTAGCTAGCAATTGCCTCATAGCATTCCGCTTGCGGACGACTGTTCACTGTTCACTGTTCGTGGCATAATCCGAACAGGGGGGGTGTAAAGATTGTCCAGTCAATTTTTGAGGGCAACAGGATTCACCGGGGCCTTCAAGCGGGGTCCTACCCCTGGAATTCGTCGTTCAAAGTGCCTGATAACAATCTGGGTTCGCGGGACTTGCGGGGATGTATCCATGATGTCAACCCCTTCCTTTCCTTTATCGGAAGTCTTAAGCGGACAAAGAAAGAGACGACTACCTGCAGAGGCATCAAATTCAGGACTCGCCAGGATATCCGTTCCAGGTCCAACTGCAAGCCGAAGATGTCTGCAGTCATGCGGGCTGCTTACATTGCATCGACTGAAACACGACGATTGCATTGCACATTCCGGTGGAAGTTCTATCGTTACGTACACAAGACGAGTGCATCGCGAATTCGGGCGCAACTTCTATCTTTACGTACATAGTTATAGGGCAAGGGGTACAATACAAATTATCGCAAAAACCCTCACTTAGTTTCGCCGTGTTTGGGACCTAGTGTGGAGTCTGTGGACTACTCGTCTATAGGGTCAGCCACATCGACTGTAGTGGGACTTCCGTAGATGTCTAGCTGGTGTGCTTTGTCCTTGTAGGTTACTATCGTTGGTGCGTGTTCCACAGTTCCCGGGTTTCATCCCTTCTATCTGAGATGCCACTCGAACACGGCCATTGTGCATATGCTCGTGGAGAGGGATTGCAAACAGCCGTAGCGGTTTTGGGTCCTGTCTTCGGTGGCAGCCCCATCACCATGACTACATAGTCTGAATTTTCACTGCAGTTTTCTACACCGAGTCATTCTTTGCCTGCTCCTTCTGTTCTACCAGTACCAGCCCTCTACTTTTTCACCGTATCATGATCAAAGTCGAGAGGGGCTTGCAAGTGGGAAGCAAAAGAGAAGTTGCCACCACAGTGCGCACCCCTGCACTTCCCAGCGATGGCTGACGACGGCTGTCTTCGCCCGAATAGAACGCCCGGTCGTTATAGCTGTATTTGGTGCAACTTTCAGTCCAGATACGGCAATAATTACCAGGCGTTCTATTCGGGTGAAGTCGACTAGGTGTCAAACCCACCTGGATATCGTCCAAGGAACTCGAAAATCGGAATCGCACCATTGCACAGATTTCCGGGGAATACGGTGCTACCAGACCAAACTTGCTTGCAGCACGAGCCAGAAAAACGGGGCAAAACACCGTGCTAACTTGTTGGCAAAGCTCAGCGTGCAAGGGGAATCCGCCTCGGCAAAAAGAGCCTCGGATGTACAGGTGGTTCTTACCATCTTCTTTGCAGAGTTTGTGCGCCTTTCTTTGCTTGCTGAATACCATCATCATCATCATCATCACAACTTGTTCAGAGTCTTCAGACTTTGATGCACATCTGAGTTGCACCTCTGTTTTCTTTCGGCAGGCCTCTTCTCCCTCTCTGCCTACGTCTCACTGGAACGCTCTGTCTGACTACATACATCTATAGTCTAGCCCGTCGTTTGTTGTCCTTTTTCTCCCTCGTTGCCTGCGGACCTGCGGTTCACCGAGAAATTCCCTATATATCGTCACAAACAGAACTGCCCGGTAAACCGTAGGCAGAGAGAGAGAAGAGGACAACAAACGAGGGGGGGCTGTGACAAACTGTTTCGTCGGAGTTTCACCGACTCATCAGGAGGCTGAACCGTCAACAGTCTGCAGAATCCCCTCACTGATTACACTGTAAATGATAATCTACCTTAACCAAAATCAAAGTAGACTATCACTCACCCACACCAGATGGAAAACTCTACAGACTGTCGGTTCACACCCCATCACAAGCCAGCAAAACATCCACGAAACAAAGAAAGGTCTGTATATCGTTTATCGTTAAACCACCAGTAGTTGGGACCCTTCCTTCCTCCTCTGCACGCCTCTGAATTTAACAGGGCGCAGGTCGGTCCGTAATGACAACCACATCAGTCCAGCACACCTTTCTCAAGTACTGGTGTTTACCAGGCAGAACACCGACGCTCTGTTTTCCAATACTTTTGAAGTTTCGATGAATGGGATGAAACCAAACACCGCAAAGGTTGTGCGCTCAATTTTTCGCACACCCTGCTGGCAACTCCGCCCCCCCC